AGCAGGGTATTCAGTTGCTAATGGTAAGTGCTCTCATTTCAACTCCAGTTAACCAGAACAAACAAGGTCTGGATGTGTACTATCAAATAATAAGTTGCTTGCTTTTGCAGATATGTTCCATAAATATTTTCAAGTGACTTCAAAATATAGCCTTTTTAATTCAACATTGTTGCAAATTAAATCAAATTGAAATACATTATGTTTGGCAGATATATGATCTTAATTCCAAGAATGATGACCAGTCTATCCAAAACTGTCATCAAACAGCCACCCACTTTCGAGTTTAGTGTGAGGATTTTCATTTCCAACCAACAAAATAATAACCAAAAAGTGAATACCTAAAAACTATGGCTGTAACTTCAAACTCTACCATTTCCAGCTCAGCTGATTATTTTTTTCAGTAAAAGCTCTGCTACAAGTTACTGTACTGTACTCCGAGCAAGTGTTAAAGGAACTGGTTAAGATACTCTATTCCTGAAGTATTTCTGTTTAAACAAGAGACTTTAATGTTTAAGTAATGTGTACAATGATAATTATATAGAAAGTTAAAGCATACATATATCTCCTTCACGGAAATATTGGTTGAAGTTAGCTCTTACTAAAAAGTAAGATTTTCTTTTATGCCACGACCATACAAGTTACATTATGAAATGAAGAAGGTAGTCAAAGCAAGACATTTATCATCCAGCAGACAAACGATGCAGGGTTGCTAGTTAGACAGTATAATAAGTACCATCTAATTTTCTCTTCAAATCAATTTATTCTTCAAAGCCTTGGATCATCATCAAGGGACTGCATTTTCCCGTTGAGAAATTACAGAACTGAAAATCAGGTTTTAGAAAACATTCAACTACTTGCCCACAAACCCTTACAAATAACCACTAGGAGTGGATTTGATCAGACAAGTGGTGGCAGTATCTTTTCTTATGCAAATAACTGAACGTCTTGACTCTTCTCAGTCACTACTTTGTAGTACTCTTTCAAAATCAGACAGTGTAACTCATCAGTAACCTTCACAAAAAGGTTTTTTCAGCCTTTCCTTTCAGCCTCCTGGTTATCCACAGATTCTTTTCTGCATTTAGTTAAACAGTAGCCAGGGATACACTTTGTATGTTTTAATTTGCTTCACAGTGTTTATCTTCCTTCTACACCTAAGAAAATAAACTGAAATATTGCTGGTAGTTAATAATTACTTGCATTACATATATCTAGAGTAGCAATTTCCAAAGGCAGCCCAGCAGTGGTGACCTTAAGGATTATTTCTCTGGAAACAATCTACAACTTAAGAAGTTTTCCAGTGGGAGCTCTGAAAGTGATCTTCATAACAAAATGTATTTCTGTAAATATAACACAGTCATTCAGGAAGGAATCTGGAAAGATCATCATGTCAACTGTCAAAACTTGAAATTAAGATTTGCTTTCCTGGGAGACTGAATGGGGGCATCTTATTGTGACAGACAGTTCATTCTAGTCCTCTGAATGAGAGGTAATGTCTGGTGTTCCCACTCTTGGATGTGACATTCTCCTGCCTTTTTAATACACTTCCTTCTCAACAGCACATTATGACATTTACTAAAAATAAAAAAAATAAATCAAAAGGAGAATTTGTAAAAGTGATTTTAAGCCAATTTTGTTAGCCAGTTTCAGAGACCACTTGCTTATTAAGCTTGTCTGTAATTCTCTGTCTCTGGTGACAGAGATGGAAGTGATATAATTTATATAAGGATCAACTATTGCCTGCTCTAATGGCTACACAATACAGGGTGAAAATGCCAGTAGTATTGACTACAGCACCATTTCTACAGCTGCACCAAAGATAGAGTTGTGTTGATGGGGAATTACAAGGGCTATTTCTCCTTGCATAACCAAAGCCATGACAATCAGAAATATTTGAACTTGATATTTGATTAACACTGGCAGTAGCCTATAAGTGATTTCCTCTCAACAATGTCTAATTATTTAATTATTTCCCATTATTAATGGAATGAAACAATTCCAAACAAACAGCTAGAATGACTATTTTGCAGGAAACTTATAATCATCAATTCCTACATGTAGAAATCTTCCTAAAATTATAGCAAGCCAGCCTGTTGAACTTGAAAAGCATATTTTATCCCAATCAATGCATAAAAGTAAAATTATCCATAACTAAAGCATGTTTCTCTGCTGTACAGTTCAGCTGTAATGATTCCCACACACTGCACTTGCACATCAATTATGATAATCATAATCACGGTCATTAAGCTGAATGTTCATTATTATCAGGATGCTGGTGACAGCAGATTCATCGGGTGCAATGAGCAGGCAGTCACAGTCCCACCCAAGTTTCTGCAGACAGTGTTGTGCCACATTAAATCTATGATGTGTTCCACATCCCACTCCATTCCAAAAGCTGTAGACGGTAAAGGTCAACTTTATGTTCTGTGCAAAATGCTTAGGTTCTCTAAATTAATTCTTTGCAGTACTGGGTATTTTTATGCTTTTTAGATAATAAAATTCTGTTTAGGGCCAAAATGCCTGTGCAAGTAATGAAACAGTAATGCAGTTGTACTGTAATGCACCTATAATAAGGCATCAGAGGGAAGAATCTGTCAGGAACAAACACCTTAAGATGTCACTTCCTGAATTTTGCAAACAAGAAAACATTAAATACTGCCATTAAAGTCATTTTTTTTAAATGCATATGCAAACTAATTCCAATACTGGTTAAAGGCTGTAAGCTATAATTTCTGCCTCAGTAAATGTGAACATATGTGAGGGTTTTGACAACTCAGAGATTATAGTTAGCTTACTTGATCCCTTGACTGTCCAGCTACATTGAAACCTATTGTTGTAGATTAAATTCATAGTGATTGGTAATTTTTCATATTGATACTTCTACCATAAATTCTATCAAAGGCATTTCATTGCATTTAGACATATAATATTAACCTTTAAACATGCAACCATTTTTATTTTTGTAGTGATTTACAATTGGGTAAACTAACTAGGTTCAGTTTCACACAGAATCATAGAAAGGTTTGGGCTGGAAAGGACCCTAAAGCTCATAGAGTTCCAATCCCCTGCCACAAGCAGGGACACCTTCCACTAGAACAGGTTGCTCCAAGCCACCATCCAGCCTGGTCTTGAACACTGCCAGGGATGAGGCAGCCACAGCTTCTCTGGGCAACCTGTGCCAGCACCTCACCACCCTCACAGGAAAGAATTTCTTTGTTATACGTAACTTAAATCTCCCCTTTTTGAGTCTAAACCCCTTGCCCCCTGTCCTATTGCTACAGTACCTGATGAAGAGTCCTTCTCCAGCACTCTTGTAGGCCCTCTTCAGAAGTATAAAACTTCTATTTCTTGTTTATTTTTAATGAAGAATTAGAATACAACAGTTTTTCCCTTCACTCAAACTTCTTTTAAATGTAAAGTGAAGGAGATAAAATTTTTCAGATTATAACTAGATGAAAAGAAGAACTATTAACTTTTCCTTACATAGATATGGTAATTATAATGTTTAGAGGAAGTCTATGCTAATACCCTTTCATTTTCCGGAAGAAATTTAACAAGGCAATATTTTGCTTTGTTGTTCATTTTGTTTCTAAAGTAATTATATAATTTACATACTAATCTTTTTGTGACTTGAATTAAAATGCATACTTATAAACACATGAAAACCTCAGGAAAATACAACTAGGATATGCTCATGAACATATACAGGGCAACATTTTTATATGTGGTTTAAAAATAGCCAGCTCATAGCAGCTCAGAGTGGTCACTGACCACTGACAACTGAACTGACTCCTTGGAAAAACTTACACAGTAGTTTGTCTTTACCAGCAGCAATAAGAGAAACTTCTGTAATATAATACTGTCAGAAGCTGAATATTTGTTACAGCAGGGTTGTCAGCTTTTCAGGTTGTAATAGAAGTTTCTTCCACAAAAATATCATCTCATGGGGATTTCAAAGGAGGGCTGTGTTTAGCAGACAAAGCGTTAAGCAAAAATTTTGGGGGGTAATATTTTCATACATGCCTTTTAGCCTTTTGATTCATTAGAACAGGATAATTTTGTTCATAGCACTCATATATACAAAGTTTGAACACAGCTGAGAAATAAGAAAGTGACAGAGACTTCTTTCGAGTTTAACAGTAAGGGAAGTATGACCTCCCACCTGCACATAGGAACTTTTTCCATTAAAATGTAGTGAAGAGGTTCAGATTTGGTTTTGTTTTGTCTTTTGGGGAAGTGGTTTTTTTGGTTTGGTTTGGTTTTCCTGATAATAATGACCATTAAAGCAGCAGGTAGGTCAAAACCAGCTCTTTTCTCTTCTCTCTCTCTGGGTAAGCAGCTCCTAATGGAAGGGTCATATTGATTTAGAATTGGGTTGGAAGGCTGTATGTTGTGTTGAGTTAACGCAAAGTGAGTTCAGCTGTTTCAGCTGAGCTCATATTTTATATAATATTATATATACGATGTGTGACATGGTATTCAATATAAATATATTTACATTGTTTAATATCATCATCTGAGCCTGATCAAGAACTGGGAAAGTAAGAGTCTTTACAGGACAAGATCAGTACCACCAGTAAGACTTTTAGATCATTTTTATAGATCATACTTCTGCTGTGGCTGTCCAGCCAGTCATATCCTCCACTTACTGCTTTTGAAAGACAAAGTCACATCTTTTTGTTTGAATTTTGATCTCTGGGCCTTTATTTGTAATGAGATTTAATTAATGTATGTTCAAATACCAAAATTTTACTCAGAGATAGTTTTTCAAGTTTTTATAAAGAATTCTTCTAAGAAATATTACTTCTCAAAACAAGATTCATTGGAACTTGTTGTTTCCACAGGTTAAGTTACTTTCAGAGGAATAAGTAATCACATCTTACACAATTCCAGAATTATATAGGTTGGAAGTGACCTCTTGAGATGACCTAGTCCAAGCCCCCTACTCAGCTAGAGCGCATTTCAAGGACCATATCCAGTGGCGTTTTGAATACCTCCAAGGATGGAGACTCCACAACCTCCTTGGCCAACCTGTGCCAGTGCTCTGTCACGCTCACAGTAAAACTCAGGTAGAATTTCATGCATTTCAGTTTGTGTCTACTGTCTCTTGTCCTGTCACGGGACACTACTGAGTCTGAGAGGAGTCTGGCTCCCTCTGCTTCATTCCCTCCTATCAGGTGTTTGTACACACTACTAAGATCTCCCATTGAACTTCTCCAAACTGAAGAGTTCCATCTCTCTCAGCCTTTCTTCCTACAAATGATGCTCCAGTCACTTAACTTACTTTGTGGCTCTGTGGTTCACTCTCAACCAACTCCATTATCTTTCTTTTTCTGGGAAATTTTAATGAGATTATGATACCCAGTACAAGTAGAAGTAATGCAAATGTTACACAAACACATGTTAGAACATGTTCTGAGGAAAATTACCTCTCATAGCATTACAAAACCAGAAATATATGAGATGCTTCTGACAAAGCAGGCAATTTTATGAGACTATCTTACAATAAAAAATGGCTATTCATTAGTTTTTAGAATTTTACAAAGAATTCAAGTTCTTTGCTTTTTTATTGTTATTAATCAGGTTTTGCCATCATTTTCTGAAGGTTCATCCTAATATGCAGGAGTAAATAGGCAATCTTGCTTACAGGGAGAGAAAAATCTCTCAGAAAAGGCAACACAGATAGAACAGAACTTCACAAAACTTACATAACCAACGCTGTATTCAATCAGGCTTTTAAATGCTTATCATGTAGGTGCTGAACTTCCTCAAATCATACTTACCAGAAAAAGAGGTGAGGAAATCCAAAATTTCATTGCATCTGCTCTGTGTAATTTTATAACATGCTAGAAAGATTCCCATTGGATTCCATGATCTCTGGATAAGGCTCAAATTCACCGAGTTCTAATATGATAACAATCTAAAAAAGTAAGCTATACTTTAATTTTTGCAGTGACTTACCTTGCCTGCAACCCACTTCTTAGGATTTTCTTCTCGGAAGTGTTTATTTCCGTATGCTTCATGGCCATATTTGCCTGACCTATGAATCAATGGGTCATACTTCTTATCTTTGTTATACGAAGAAAATGGCAGAAATCTGGAAATCAAGAATATTTTAAAATCTATTATGCTCTACTCTAGATGCAACACTATGATGGAAATCATAGATACCAGTGCTATAGAAGGTGACGTGAACATATGTTCCTGCTACTTTCGACTACATTCTTAATGTTCCCCATTCATACTAGAATCACAGAATCATAGAATCAACTAGGTTGGAAAAGACCTTTAAGATCATCAAGTCCTACTATTACCCCAAGACCGCCAAGAACACCACTAAAACTCATCAGTGGGGGACTCATCTACATGATTTGTGAACACTATTGTCAGAGGATTACTGCAATATCTCCTATAGCTGCTTCCAAATTAAATTTGAAGCAAAGAGATACAGGCTTTCATTGGGATAAAATGAAGACTTTCTGTACAAACATGTAACTTGGTTCACTTGTACCTTAAACTAGATATGCATGATTTGATATCTGTTAATCAAAGCTAAATGAACAGTACTGTCATTTAGCAGAATAGAAACTTATACAAGTAGTACTGTTGACTTTCACGTATTGGTAGACCACAAAGCAATTATTTCTTCTGTATTCACAAATTGTGTGCTAAATTCTCAAGTTATAATGCTGTCCTAATTAGCAATATTTTGGAATCTGATTCCTTCACCTTTGATCATACTGACGGCAGACTCCCTGCTTGCATAGTGCCACCGAACAGTGAAGCTCCAGCTACCTGCCTTGGTCATGGAACAGTTTTTCAGATGGATGTCCCTAACTCTTAAGGACAACTGCAGGTTTTCTGGGTAGATTCCACAGCAAATGGTATGGAGGAAAGAGAATAATCTCTTGTGTGTATAGGATCTGCAAAAGACCCTACAAAGATGTCTTAGCTCCACCTATTTCAGTTTGCAAGAGAGTCACAAGAGCAAAAAAAGTACATTTTAATAAACAGTAAAACCTTGTGAATTAAGTTATAATTGCTGGTCTTCTGAAAAAGCAGCATGCATTCTTTATTCTACAAGTGCAGGAAAAAATATTATACAGTAAAATTAGAAGTATATGCTTCAGAATTTTAACACGTCACTTCAACTGCCATGACAACAGGTATAGTTAAGTAAAACCTTTTCCTAGTTGAAAGCATTTCAGAATCTAGAATCCCTATGAGTTAGACAGTCAAATAAGTTTTTGATAAAATAGGGATTAAAATACCTTTAGTCTCTCAGCTGATACAGACTCAGAAAATTCTTTATTTGGACTAACTGATCCATCAGCAACTGTTTAAGTGTTTGTTTGCTTAAATTACATTTCTTTCTTTCCACTTTGTAAAAAGAAACACATTTAGAATCTTGCCAGCTATATCAATTTGATCCATGAAGTACCGCAAACAAATGGCATGTAAAGTTAGAGAAAGAAAACCACTGAGTTAGCAGACTTTTAAATTATACAAAGCTATAGTAGCATGGGTATACTCAAGGGAAAGCACACTCTCACATAAGACAGATTATGGTACTTGTAATGCTCATTTGCACATGGGATAGACATCACACACACACAAAAAATTAATGTGGCCCCAGTGTCCCAGAGAATATATCGAAGGTGCTGTGAAGTGGCTGCTCCACTTGCAGTTTTTATCACTTCTGAATTGCATTTTAATAGTACATTTTTCTTTTGTTCAGACATGAAAGAAAATTGGCTTTCTCAGGGGATTGGATAGCTCAGAAGACAAGGCTAGCCATTTAGGGATTTGCCCATGTATGCATAGAATGTAGTTGAGCCATTGTATTAATAATTTAACAGGAATGCTATATCCATAAAATTTATATACAAAATGGCAAAAAAATAGAGAAAATTAAAAGATAAAGTAAATTATTATAGTTTTCCCTATACAATTGCCTACATAGAGGTTTTGATTTTACTGTGGATCAGTTAATCTTTGTCTTTGTGGCAAAAAAATGGTCACAGTAATCCTATGTTCTACCACGATTCCAAACAAAACTATACACACATTGTAGCACTAACAGCATGTTCTATGTATAGTTTAGCATAAATGTGATCTTCTGCATTATCTCCTCTAAGATCATTATTATGTGGAGCATGTGCCATACAGCCTGGAATGTATGTCTATGGCTGAGTAAAAGAAAAATTAAATCAACTATGAATTTCTGATAAAGAACATTGAACAATAAAAAAATACTAAAATTGAAATAACTAAAATATAGTAGAGTATAATGGTATAAATTAGCCTGAAGTAGAAACTTTCTTTCTTTAATCCTGTCTGCAGTTCTGCTGTCAGAGCCAGGTGGGTAGATCATTATAGTGCTAACAATCTAACTACAAGAAAGGATCATATGCTTGCAAATTCACTGTCTGTTTAAAGCACCTAAGAATTCTCATTACTCTATAGGAATAAGTAATTAAAAAGAACATTAAAACAATTTTTTGTGTTAAGTAGGGTAACCAAATTAATGGGAGTCATACAGAAGTCATTACACCCCCACAACCAATAATAATAGTAAAAAGCAACAGCACTGCAAAAGACTTCAGTAATGGTATTGTGTTCAGTAGCTCTGTATATACACCTGACACAGCTTTTCCCCAAATTAATGACATTATGTGCTCTGAATGTGACAGAAGACAGTGATGGAAGGAGAAGAAAATTAAATCCAGACAATCGTATGATGCGCACAAATTTAGACCTTAGTAATTTTTTCCTCAAAAAGCTCACTCTCAGGATTCTAACATCTGTGCTTCAGCCTTTCCTTGCGATTTAAATGTAAATTCAGAAATCCTGAAAGGTTTTCAGTAAATATGACAGAGATAGTAGTAGCAGGATCAAAAAAGAATTAAATTCCATACTGGTGTTATATTATGCCATAAAACACAGCATAAGTTGAGTCTTTCCAAAAGTTGATGATTTAAGGGGGGGTTGAACAAGAAATAAATTTAGAACTGAAAAATTATTTCATTTCACCCATGACAAAAGCTTGAATGAGAGATATGCTAAAGAATACATTCAAGACAGGGGGAAAAAGCTGGAACTAAAAATGGGAAAAGGCCTCAGGTTCTACAAACGGCAGTATTACACATAGATAACCTGAGGGAGCACCAGACCAGAGCTGGCAGAATCACTGGTAATGAAGGCCAGCTGCATGGTTGCCAAGACCACACTATGTTGAACCTAATAAGCATAAAAAAGATCTAGAAGCCTCAACATAGTAGCCAATCCTGGAGCTGACAGCTGCTAGTGGCATGTATTTGAATTTTGAAAGATATTCTAGATATTTGTTAACAATTATCTCTCCCTTCACTCATCCTATCCTGCAACTCCCTACTATTCATTATGATTAATTTCACCTTTCTAATCCTTCTTTTCTCCACATTTTTACGCCCTCGTGCTCTTTCCTCCTGCATGCCTCACCTACCATTTCTTTCCTCCGTTATCTCTCACTATTGTTACAGGAGATGTAAGAAGCATTTTAGACACTGAAGACTTCCCAATTGGATTGACCAGATGACAGAAGCAGCAGTAGATACTGGGTTCTGTCTATGACAATGTGAAACGAGAGAGCAGCAGCACAAACAGGAAGGAGGATTTGTCAGATCCATCATTTAGTGCTGGGTGGCACCATCCCGATGCTGTATGATACCAACAGGACACAGTTCAGAGGCATTAACCTCCTCTTGAATTTAAACGCTGGCAAAAAAAAGAGTAGTCCTTCAGCATGTTTTCTGGACCTGCCTAAGAGGCAAAATCCCGGCCGTTTAGCGGGACAAACAGGTAATCCTGATACCAGAAATGCTTCAGACTTTACCCAGGTTTCTGAGAAAGAACTGGCAGTACATCTCCTGACAGACTGCCATACATGCTGCACTACCAGGACACAATAAGAAATATTAAAACCCCTGAACTAGAAGGAATATTCTGCTTATGTGGTTTTTCAGACTTTCATAATATTTGTATGTACTGTACAGTTTTGCAATTTAGTAGTAAAAATGCTACCAAAATCTTAACTTTAGAAGCACAATGTGGTGTCAAATTGTGGTTCTAGACAGGAGCAATTCAATTCCTTGTTGTGTTGATCTAACTTGAATAAACCAGTTTTACCTTACTTTGAAGAAGACCATGAACAATTAGCTTCAAACAAACTGTACTTCTCTATCAGAAAGTTGTCACTCTTTTATATTTTATTTTCTTTAAATAAAACATGAAATTAATTTTAAGCTTTCAAATTTGTGTTATACCTGAAGTAATTTCATTATCAAACCCAACAACGTCTATCTTATCACTGAGGGAACAAAGGAAGAAATACAATGGTTTTCCATAGCAAAACAAGTGCAGCAGCACAGCCATTATCTAGTTCATAATGAGTGCATATTAAAATCAAAATGTTATTCACAAAAATAAAGACAGAATATTTTGTTTAACATATCTAGTCAGATTACTTTTACTGCAGTATCTTGCCGTAAGAAACTTATTTTGCGTGCATTATTAAACATATTGTCCACAGCAATATACTAACTGCATACTTTTTAATCAACTATCAGTCACTTTTATCCTAACATCAGTAAATCTAAGTATCTTCTGGCTTTTTTGTTTAACTCCTCTCTGCAATAATGTAAAGTGACAAAGGAAAACATAGTCTAGTTCCTGCAGGAAATAAAAGATCTCTTCTGTAGTAAATTCTGGAACTTCTTAATTATGCACAGACTTATTATCTGCATCCCCAGTGTTATAAAGTACCAGAACTTCATTAGAAAAATTAAGATGGAAAAATGAAGGCACCACTTTGTAAATTTCCAGTGGAAATTAGCTGGAAGAAGCAGAGGAATACTGGATCAAAAGAGGGTAATCATGCTTAACTGTGCCCTAGAGCACCCGCATGTATAATACAATTTGCACAGTAACTACCTCTCCTATTACTGCTTGTTTGGAGTATTCTGTGTTAATGGGGTTAGCTAATTTAGTATTTTAACTTAAAAAGACTCTGCTGATTAATAAATGTTGCACACTGTGCTAGTAATTAAAATAAATGGAAGAGTTACAAATAGAAGTTGAATTGTTAAGAAAACATTGTCTGAAAATATATGATAATCCCTGTTTATCACAATACAATGACAGTCCGGAAAATATGCAGATTGCTGAAGTCGCAAAGCATATGAAGAAAGTTTTCAGATGTGTTATATTTGTGTGACTTTAAATGTAGAAGCCATTTTCACTACAGCTAAATCAGAAATACAGGAAAAGATCTTACAAATGTAGAAATTTAAGGATTTTTTAAACTCTTAAATCTTATTGAAGTTCCCTGATTTTTAAATGTTATTACCATTAATACCATGCAGCTCATACCACTGAAGCATAGAGCTTATTTAGATCACTAACTTCTCTGTAAGTGCATCTTTTGTGCACAGCACTGCACAGCACAGAAGCCCCTAACCTGGTTCTAACCAAAACATTCTCCTGCAGTGTTCACAAAGCACATGAGAGGCAGGGTTTGCAAACCTTGCACCGCTGCTGCACACAAGCTTGCCAGTGCGTTCAGGACTGGCTTGGCTATCTCCAGCGCAGCAAAGAGCACGGACATAGCCAGAAGCTGAGATGACTTGCCGTGTCACACCAGAAGACTACAGTAAATCAAGAAACCTCAGCCTTACACTACTGCTGGTTTACCCCTATTCTATCACCACATTGCAACTCATTCTGATGTATGCTGACTTTATAAAGATATTTAATTGTATATTTTGAAGCATGAGGCATGTTATGTGAGACAGATTTTAGCAATGTTAATGAAAATAATTTACTTTTTTTTTAGTCCAGAGTGCAGCTGCACGCAACTGAATATAGAAATTTTCACGCTTAGTGATATAAATCTGCTAGATCCAGCAGTTGGTGTCTCAAACTAGACACTACTTTATTAAGAGGCTATCCCGAAGGAGTCCAATTGTCATTCCTACTGAAGCAGAGGGGGAAATCACTTCATTTGTATGAAAAATATCACAATAAGGCAGTAACAGCTTCAATTACATGAAAAAAGGAATCATTCTTATTAGGGTAGATTACTCAGTTGCTCAATTCCAGCAGTTGCTTTAAGGAAGCACAACATTCTCTCTTACTTTCATTTGTACTGCTTCTGTCTGTCACAAACTCTCCCATATCTTTGTCAATTATTTCTGCATTATATCAGAAGCAATAACTTTCTCAGAGCTTGAAACACTTAGAGAAAACATTTCTGCTTTAAAGCACCCTGATAATCAGAGGCAACTGGGAATTCTGAATTTTGTTGGAAATTGCAGGTATACACTGACAATTTGTCTATCTCAAAAGATATCACACAGTATTCAGGACTTCATCTTACACAAACAAGCTTTCCCAACAAATGCCACATACTTCTGCTGCTCATTCCCTCCTTATTTTCTAAAACAAAAGAATAATCAACATAGGAAGCACTACCAGGAAGAAATACAGTCCTGAAGTACACAATTACATAGAAATCTGAGACAGAATTTTTTTCAATTTATAATAGACACTGGTGAGGAAAAAAAGCTACTGCAGAATCTGAGTAACCCTTTGCAGACTTCTCCCTGGAGACCAGCATCCCACACAGCAGCTGCAGCATTACTAGAGAGCGTAAGTCCTGATGATGACCTGCAACTCTGTCATCACCTTTTCAAGGTTACAGATGTGATCCTTCCATGGTTGGTTGAAAATGAACCACAGACAGAATGATCACAGCCTGAAAATGTATAATACACTAGACATTTAGCATGCATGAAGCTGAGCATCACTGGTGTTAGGACATTGCTTCTGTGCATTAAGGATTGCTCTAAATGCCTCTTTACCCATAAGGTAAATAAAGATCCCATGTCAATTAATATCTAAGTTGGAGGCTTCAAATTTTAACTGTACAGGACCAAAGCTTCACAATTCGCTCACTGAAGACAGCCAGAAAAATATTTATTATGAGATCTGACCTTCTGACACTGCTGGCACAGTAGTGTCTGGGGTAAACCTCATCAAATAAAGACTGGGCATTATAGTTACGCCTTTAAATGAAGAACATCATCCATCTTCACTTTGAATGAATCAGTCAATAAATAAAAGAACACAAAGAGGAGTAGAAACCAGAAGTCTATTTTTTACTTGTAACTTAACTCAGTTACAGTTTTGTTACCACAGGAATAGAAGGTACTAGATCTCATTTTTTGCACCAAATATAAAGAATACCGTTGCCTAAATGTGGAAAAGAAGCCAAACTAAGATTTTTTTTTCTTTCTATTTAAAGCTAATATTAAATCAGGAAAATGATCCAACAATAAAATTAGAAAAGCCAAACCATGCAAATGAAATTGATTCTGGCATTCTTAAGTACTAGTCCTAACACATAGCAGCATGGAGCTGATGGAAAAGTTTGAAACAGATCAAAGATAGTAAAGCATTGTCTTCCAGTGAATCAGTGGTTCACAAGCTGCTCATGAGGAAAAGTGATTCCTTTCTATCCTGAATTCTGGTATTAAAGTGCCAGAGGATTGCCAAGAGCAGTGAATCCAAGGGAAAAATTGACAAAACATCAATTTTTTCTAGTTAATGACAAACCCAGTGCAAGTGACTTAACAGGCCTTTATTATGACTGGACAAGAGAGTTCCATCATGATGAGAAAAGAAATGGAAATATTTTGTCAATAGCCTTAAATCTTTTGGGTCAGAAGCCTTAAATCTTTTGCCATGAATTATGTCTGCATTTGGGATTGTACGGAAAAGAACTGGTCTGCCTGACACTATTACAGATGCGATGGCTTAGGAAACCAAACTGCTTCAAAGATGAATACAGTTTTACAAATGATTACATGTTCTAACATGTGCAACATATGCTCCTGCCCCTTCCAAGTGAGCTTTGTTAACTTCCTGGGGGAGAAAGCAAGTCTCTTTGGCATGCAATACCATTCTTCCCTCACATAATCTGTTAACTCACTGAATACGAAGACCAACCAGTATTTTTTCCTTGGCAAAGTGCATGTGGTAAAACAGAATTTGCATTTGTTTTCTTATTTCCCATGAAACCCATCTGTTGCACCCCATATTATTATTAGTATTACAAGTTCTTCTATAATTTCATAGATACGGATGGCACATGGCACACAATTACAAGATAGGGTCTCTGTCCTGAGCAGTTTATAATCTAAGGACACAGAATTTAGAAGGATGTTCATAGAATGTTTGCTAGTAAGCTGTCAGGTTTGACATTTCATTTTGTCAGGCATGAAAGGTTTCTGAAAACAACAGAATAAAGAAAGCATTCTCATAATATAAGAAAAAAACAAAGAACTTACTCTTTGTCATGTATGCAGTTTCCCCAATCCTCCCTTTTCATTTCCTCTCTGCCCTTGTCCAGTGGTGAATCGATGAATGCTGCCATGTGCAAGGTTGGTTCCAAAGGCTTGTGGCGCTGCCAAAATACTTCAGCAGTATCACGGAAAGGCCCCTGAAAGGTATAGTATAATGTATTTTATTGTAGGGTTACAGTTCTTTCCTTTGCTTCTTTTATTCGTGACATATCAATGATGAAAGAAAGAGGACACAGAATGTGTGGGAAGTGTAGCAAGACTTTTCCTCCAAAATAATTAAAGCAGTTCATTTTGATAGAGAGTTACAGATAACACAAAGTTTGATAACATGTTCTAAAGCTCCAAAGAGAAAGGTCCCCTCCAGTTTTATTTAGCTACTAATAAATATTTATTATTTTAAACTAATAAATTGTTAGAACTGATTACGAAAACTTAGCTTTTCCTTAGAAAAAAGGTATGGGTGAAATGAAATCTGATACACAAGTATTAACTGTGTCTAGATTCTGTTTAAGTAGAAAGCTGAAGTCTTTTCCTTTTGACAGGATAAATGTTTTACCTTAAAGAACATGGTCTTTTCAATTGAACTCTAAAGCTATCTGGAAGGTAACTTAATACATGACTTAAGATATAATTCTTCTAATACAATTCAAACTACTGACTTAAATAATATAGGCATATAGCCTATTTTTAAAATGTCTAATTCCACATTAATTTCACTATTCTTTAAAAACAAAAAGCAAGCTTGTAATTCTTCCACAAATCTCTATATATACTAATTCCTTTTTTACAGACTATGTTGTTTAATAACTGATCATATCAACTTTTACCATTTAACACAGTTAAATAGCAGCAAGAAGCTCTTTCCTGTGCTGTCAAAGTGACATATCCTATGTCTTGCTTTTAGTACTAACCAGTGAGAACTTACCTGAAGTATAATTAGTGCTATATCATGCTCAGGACAGTTTAGTGGCAATTTTGGATTTAGAAGTGTTGCTAATGAATTTTTAATTTATTTTCATCATTGTTGATCCTGCAATGAACTAGTGAAACCTTCTGAAACTATGAATAGACAAAGACTCTTAATCACACCCTTTATTCTTAAAGATATCCTTCTTTAAATAGGTTATCACTAACAAGTCACAGCTGGAGTTACTGCAAGCACTGAGTGAAGACTGTGGGGCTAATAAAAAGAAATGATTCACGCCTCATTTATGTTCACTTATGTTTTACATTAATAGAAACCAATAATAGGAACCAGTTACCATAAAAGTCATGGACCGTAAATAACACAAATGGCAAATAAGTATCATCTAGTACTTTTCACAGCTGGACAGGAGGGTTGCTGTATTTGAAAGTAGTTAATGGATTTCTATTGGAACTTTACTTTTTAAAGGCACAGCACCATGGTCTGGAAATTGCTTTAAAGGTCCTAGTAAGCACATCAGCATAATATTTACGCTTCTTGCAGTGATTTTCTTGCTTCTATATTCTAGGTAAAAATACATGCTAATTTAAAATGACCACAAGAACTCTTCAAAAAAAGAATGAAAAGTGTTATCACCTGTGAAAGAATAATCAACACTAGAACCATTAACACTAGTAAGCAATGTTCTAGTAATACCTAATCTGATGATCAAGTTGTAAAAATAGTGTAAAACTGAACATAAAAAGATTAATACTCTTTATTGCAAGATATTTGTGCCAAGTGGGTATGTAAAGGAAATAAGAATGAAATGTACTATTACCAAACGTCATAATAAATATGTTTGCTTTTAGGAAATAGTCTTTCATATTATTGTATTTCTTCTTCATTGGAAAATATTGTCTCATATTCCACCAGTGTAGGGCCAAATCAGCTACCTAAGCAAAGCAGTTATTCCACCTTTAATTTCTAAGACCTTCTAACTCTTTCTTGATCCATAGTTCAAAGGAAATTACTAGAGAGGAGGAGGAAAAGAGTACAGTTAAGCAAAGGTCTCTCAAGCAAGTCTGTGTCATCACTAATGAAAGTGGGATATATATGTTAGAATACTAAGATAATACTAAACATCGCCTGTGGATTTTTCCATTACTCTGAATAATGTATTTGAGGAAACTTACCTAGCAATAGGCACCTAAGGAATATATCTAAAATGGCAAGACCTCTAAAAAATCCACTTATCTCTTTCCATTTTACAAGATTTGTGGAATCTGTGGTAGAATGGTGTCTATGCACATGCAAACATTTCAGGAATCCTGCTTCAAAATGGAAATCTTCCTGCAGAGGTCAGGCTAGGAGAGGAAGGGATGGACTCAACCAAGTTTTCACCCTGGAAACAACTCGTGTAACTCTGTGTTTTATGTTTGGGATTTGTACTGAGTAGCATAAATCTCACTACTGACTGGTTTGTCAAATAAAGTTTAGCAGATCAGCATTTTTAGTTCTTTCTATCATAGAAACAGAAACTACATATTCATTTAGAAACAGAACAGAAACACAGAAGCAGAAATAACATATTTTTCGCTGTCCCATCCCAGCATGCCCTCAAAAAATCCCCTCAAAATGGCAATGTGCTTTCTGTTATTAATGCCTTTTCTTGAGCAAATGACTAATTTTAGCATTATCTGTGTTTCCATCAAACTAATTCTAGTTAACTCATAACTCAATAATAAAAATGATAGATCTAACTAAGTATATTTAAACTTTTATTTTAAATACACTATCTTACACACACAGAGATTATGTATAAACTGCTAAATACTTATTTCCCAAAGTGAAAGGTGAAAAACAGTTAATTTTTATTCTTTTTGACATTCTCATAAAAAATATTGAACCGTATAGGTAATACAAATTTTAGATACCTGCAGTAAAATAATAAGTGAGTCACAGTGGGCTGGACAGATGTTAGAAAAAGAAGCTTGGTGTGCAGAAGTGTTACCACAGAGAACTAGGACACAAGTATATCTAGTAATTAAATTTCTTATTGTCACACCAGACAACTTTCAGGATGATGTGCTCTGATGGGGTTTCATTTCCAGCTGTTTCATCAGCTCAAACCAGTGTCCTTTCTTAGACACACAACCCTAAATTGTCCAAGTGCTGTGTAGGGATTTAGCCGTGTGACTCCCATTAACATCAATAAGAGTCGCGCAGCTAAATCCACGCTCTGTGCTTTGAAAATTTACCCCACAGTGTACATCCCAGGGTGCGGAAAGGATTAAAGTATTATATAGTAAATTCCCTCTTTGAGGTGCAGAAAATAAACAGAACTCTTCTGGTTTGTTCTAAAAGGCTATCTGTGCACCACTGCTGTGCATGTGTCTGAACTTAGAAAGGTCTGTAAAATATTCCAAACCCAAGCAGAAGCTTGTAAGATACTTCATATACAGTTTTACAATGGAAAACCTTGAGTTCCCTTTTTATTTAAAAGCATGATTCCTTTACCATGTCCACTAGCAAAATCTTGCCCTCTGTCCTGAGAGACAGGGCATTCAGTCACATCCTGCTGAAGGACTGTCATAGCCCCTTTGGTCCCAGAAGGTAAAGCTATAACATCGTATTTATCTCAACCCCAAACTCCCTGATCACCCAAACTGTTTGTGGGCTCACACTTTGTCTCAATTCTACTGTGAGCTGAGTTCATTCGATGAGGAAGCTCATGCAGTCAAGGTGAGGAGAACATAAGGAGGGAAGAACAAAGAGAACTGCTCTGAAGTTGACCTTTAATGTCATAAGCAGAGTGGATCTTCAGTCAAAGTTACTGAGAAGGACACATTTAGAAATGTTGTCTTTCTAAGCAAAATAGAGGTTCTGAAGATGTTGTCATTCAAAGTCAAACAGGCACTAAAAGTATACGTGTGTGGTAAGTAGAAAGTTCAGTAGATTGGACAAACTGAGAAATTCTTCAGAATAGAGGGAAAGAGAATACTTCTATCCCAAAAGTAACTTCATAAGGCATTTACTGGCAAAAGCTACATGTCATTGTCTTATCATCAAGTCAGGAACATAAAGGTTACAGAAGTCTGTCTGCTGAGAATATTCGGCATATGCCCAGCAGGTTTTGATAATCAGGTGGCAAAAGCTGTTCTGGCATCTTGTGGGATATTCATACTGATGCATTATCTCAGAGATCTCTATTACTTTATAGAAAAGAAACAAAGCTATCTGCAGCATGTGTTGACAGGAGATGAAATAAAAATTGAGACCACGACGCTAAGAGTAGGAGAGGGGCAACTTTGCTCTGTTGCAGATTAAAATGTAGAAATGTATGTAATTAAAGCTGACACACAACTAGTGGACACAAAAGAGCAGGAATGAAAAGAGATGGGCAGGATGTTTCTTGGCTTTTATATGGAAAACAATTGAAAAATGAGGAAAAAGTTATCATAACTGGTTAATTTATCCTATTATTTTTCATTTATCCTATTATTTTTCATTTATCCTATTTTTATTGTTTTAAAATTGGAAATTTAGACTCCTACCTCTAATGAATCATAATAATGATATGCAATTATATCAGGTCTTCCCTTTTAAATATTGGAAATGACATTTTTTCCCCAAAGGACAAAAGTATGAAGAATCATGCATCCTTGTTTTTACGAATCACCTAGATTTCTTTTTCTTTAAGACAAATCTGTTTCAAAGACTTTATATCCCGAATGTAAGCACTTGATCTATGTAAAAAAAAAACAAATCCAGAAAAGGGGTTGTTGGACTCGACAATCTGAGATATTCTACGATTATCTATGATAAAAGGTATCAACAAAAGCTGCCTCAGAGACACTGAAAAATATTACCTGAGGTTTCTGTCTGATGATAGCTGGCAAGGGCTGTCCTGTGGAGAAAGTCGGAGGCCTTTTACAAGTTGGCCAGTCGTAGAGCTCAGAGGTAAGAGGACTCTTGGTTTGCTGCTGTCTGTGGCTCAATGGCTTTGACTTCCGTAGCAGCAGCTCCATTGGATCTGGGGATTTTCTGAAAGGTGAATTGTAGATGCCTGGAATCTGAGCAGAAAATGGGGATATCTTTGACTTCAACTAACTTAGAACTCCCTCTTGCATTTATTCTACAAATCAAACCAATTTAAAAAAAAAACTATATAACCATAGAATCATAGAATCAAACAGTTCTAAACAGTCTTTTTGACAACTACTGATTTGGCATAGATTTATAGTGTAAATACATCTCTGCATTACAAAAGAGGTTAAATAGGGCAATGTAACGTAATCTGGGTTTCAGTCCTTCAAATGGGGGTAACTTTCATTTTCTGTAAGAAAGAGCTTCCTCTACCTCAAACTCATGTTTTCTTTCTGTCACATTCAATCTTCAACCTTCCACAGCAATAGTCAAACAAACATGCCAGGTTTCCATTATAAAAGAAAAACAAAAGTGTACAAATTTGCATCTAGTTTTAAAGGCAAACCATTATAGTTGTGTACTTTAAAAGTTCCTCTACGCAACAGGAACAAAAAAATATTTTTATTTCCAAACACATACTTAAAAGAGTAAAATAAATACCTATGCAGGGGAAGATAACTCTTGTCCTTTTAAACTCTGTGATGGCTGACTCACAAGGGGGACAAAACTTTACTTTTTAAAAAGTAAAAATGAGTCATTAGTTAAGGGAAAATACAAGAAAACTGATGGAATATCAACAGCAAATAATTGCTTTTTTCCAACAAAATGTTCACATAAAATTCCTTTCACTGTTCAAATGTATTCAGTTTTAATGGTATACAACTTGGGAAAAACAAGAACGTTGAATAAAAATTTCTGAATTGTGAATTAAGCTAAAAGATTCATTCTTCACTAAGTTTGATATTTTATTTTTTCAGGATACATTATTAATTGCATCACCAGTGTGATCTAATATAACAGTTACTGATACAAAGCATAAATTTCAAATACTGAACTAGTAATCCGTGTCATTAACAGTCTGTGACTATCTAGCAAGTCAAAGTTATGTGACAGACTGTTCCCAAATCATTCGACTGTTCCCAAATCATTCCTATAAATGTAGGGATTTTCTATTTATATATAAACAAATCTCAAATAGACATACGTGAGTGTACAGAATTAATTATGAACTGTTAAATGTGAGAATCCTTACACCATATTGCACAAAGCCACTAAATCTCTTATAAAACAGATGACATATATTTAAAATACACCTGGCAAAAATTAAAGATACTGTGTTGATTTAAGGATATTTTTTGTAACAGTATACTCAGAATATTCTTAAGACTTTCAAAGTATATTTGCTTAGTTAAAATATATACTTCTTTGCTTTTATCATAGCTTTAATTGCTAAGATGTATTGAATCAAAATAGTAGGAAAAGAAATCAGTTTTGTGATGTTGGGAAAGGTAAGGAAAAGACTAAATGTCTAAAATCTTACATTTCTCCTTTGAAAAAATACTGAGGACCCATAAGAAAACTAAATAGAGCTTCAGCTTCCTCATAAAGTATTAATCTCTTGGGGCTGGGAAGACTGAACGCTCCTCAATTAGCTCTAATGCATTTTTCATTAACATATCCTACTGGGAGGTTCCAGTTTCTTCTGCCCAAACAGTTAAATAAGGCTGATATAAAACATATTGTTTAATGGGGACAAAAATATTCTGAGATGGTAGCTTATTCAAAATATTGTTGGGCTATTCAAAATGTTATGGGCTATATTCTTGAACTCCCTAAGTGATCTGGCCCTAATGACATTTTATTTTGGCCCTCTGTTAAATGTTCCCTTCTTAGTGCAAACCTTATAAACTATTCCTCTACACTAACAGTCTAAATGTGCAATGGGAAAGAGGACATGAATAGAGGGAAGTGGTAGAAACGTGTATGCCAAACAACCACTGGCTGTTCCTTTAGCTCTTCAGGATGCCACACTAAAATGGCAGGGTTCCATGCTCCAAATAGCTAGCAAGCAGGATCCCTGGAGTAAATACGAAATTACAGCTCTATCTGTATGATTTGTTAAATCCAGCTGCATCCTTAAAGTTTGGTTCTAGAAGTCTGGCTCTCACTCACATAAACATCTCCTAAAGTTACAGATTCTCATAGTGTTATTATTTTGTGCTATTTCATACATTGCCCTACTGCAATTTTCTTATCAGCCCAGTACATTTTTGCTTGTGAACACTCGCTGACCTCTAAGTGCTACATAAACACAAGTTTCATATGTTGTCTCGGGCTTTATTGCACTGTTCCAGAATTACTGAATGCATTTACACTATATATTTGTTACAGATGTTCTCTCAAATATAAAATGCCACAGCAAAGCTCGCCCATACAAATTAGATTCCATGCTAGAGATATACAAACCATCTCTATGCCATGGTTGTTATGGCTCTTCACTCATTAGTCCTACCATGGTCATCAGATCTGCCTACTTTCAGATCAATTAAATTTTGCCTTCACTCTGTTAAGGACAGTAAAATAGAAAAGTGATTGCTCATGACTACCTTTTTTCACATTTCACTGAACTGCTCATAGTATTTTACTTCATCTTTCTAACCATTCTTACACCATCAATATTCAGCTGTTGTATCCTACCTAATGTACAGACTGTGTTCTAGCCATGCCATGAGTCTTCAGAGCTCCCCAGCTAGTGGGAGAGCTACTGTTCTCTCACAGTACAATCCAAAGAGCAAACTGGGAAGGAAATTTTGACCCCCCCCCCCCAAGACCATAAGATTTTTCCAACCTACACAGCACAGGTTTGGTTTTTGGTTTTTGTTTCTCCAGCATAGAAAAGTACAATATCTTAAAAAAATTAACTGATTTTCCTCTGAAGAATTATAGGCAAGAATAACTTTAAAGCCATGTGCTGGCTGAGTTCTAGGAAACAGCATTGCCTCTGTTAGTCATATTAAGAGCAAGTATAAATGGCTCCAGGAGTACAATGGCTTTCTGAAACTGCAGTTTGCAATCTATATTGAGATACTATGTATATTTTACTTGATGTTTCTTTTGTTTAAATGTTTGGCAGTAAAAAAACTATAGCTCATACAGGATTCAGAAACTGAAATGCTACTAAATATCTCCAGGTGTGCAAATACATTTGGTTTTTAGCACTTTTAATGAAACCAAAATTAGCCATAATAGCTGGGGAATCCATTGAAGCAGTGTCTTTTGAATTATTGCTGAAAGGTGTCTTAACAAAGAGGCACCTTTTATTGTTCTTTTTTTTTACGTACTCTCAGGTTAAACATGCACAGATAGTGTACCAATGATGAAAATGGATTTAGTGAGGCCACTTGGACACTTTGAAAGTTGTCGCTTCTGCTACAGCTGAAAATCTTTGTAAGATCTGGGTCAATATTGATTATGAAGTGCATTTTTAAATAATAATTTTCAAGCAACCCTTGTTAATTACTTTACATTTTAATTATATACATTGAAGTATTCAATCAGACAGATAGCAGAGCAATCAGCAGAGTTAGTATCCAGACAGATAAAATTAATACTAATTTACTCTAAATTCCCCAAGGTTTGTGGTGCGGTTTTAGGCCTAGATTTAAAATTGGCAAAGTTTGGCAGGAAAGACAAGGGGATGAGCTTGCTTTTACTTCCCAGTTCAGACCAATCTCTGGCAAACGGCTTCCATTCATTTTTAAATATCTTGTCAAATCAGAGTCTTATTTTTGTAATATCTTGCACATATGCTGTGTGCTGATGAATGCCCTATTCACTCTATCCTCTGCAGAGAGCTGGCAGTCTGCAGATATCTGAGAATCTGGAGGATCAAAGCCTTTGGTACTTAATAAATTTGCTTATCTTCTTGAGACCAGTACAATGTCTTAAAAGCGTTACTTCATCTTTTCCCTACTTTAACACGATATTCTCTGAACTACAATGCCATTGTGGTTAATGCTGCTTTTTCAATGGTAGCAATATCTGTCTTGAGATATTACTATCATACTATTCCCACTATTTTCAAATACAAATCCCACTATTTTCTCCACCTTTCATCTGTAAGAAAATATGTTACCCTCCAAAATACTATAATAGATTACAAAAAGCAACTTGTCTGCAGGGAGAATGACACATTTTTCTGTACCCATGTTCTTTACAACTAAGACGGGACTTTGTCAAAGTCAGCTTTCTGGGACTTCCCTTCCAGTGTGCTGGATTTGGCTGGGCTACAGTTAATTTTCTTCATAGTAGCTGTGTATGAGATTTGTGCTGGAAACAGTGGGGACAACACAGGAATGTTTTTGTTATTGCTGAGCAGTGCTTACAGAGAGTCAAGGCCTTTCCTACCTCTCGCACCACCCCACCAGCAAGTTGGCTGAGGATGCACAAGAAGTTGGGAGGGGACACAGCCAGGACAGCTGACCCCAAATGACCCAAGGGATAGCACATACATATGGTGTGTTCAGCATATAAAGCTGGGGGAACAAAAAGGAAGGGGGGACATTCACAGTGATGGCGTTTGCCTTCCCATGCAACCGTTACACATGATGGAGCTCTGATTTCCTGGGTATGGCCAAACACCTGCCTGACCATGGGAAATGGTGAAGGAATTCCTTGGTTTTTTCTTTGCTTGCATGTGCAGCTTTTGCTTCACCACTTAAAGTGTCTTCCTCTCAACCCATGGGTTTTCTCACTTTTACTCTTCCATTTCTCTTCCCCATGCCACTGCGGGGCAGATGAGCAAGCAGCTGGGTGGTGCTTAGTTGCCAGCTGGGGTTAAACCATGACATCCAGGAACAATTTCCTAAAGTGACAAATACTATGGGGAAATCTGTGCTAACTGTTAAAAACCCTACAACTGAGTTATTTGCAGTACTGTCATGCTAACTTCCACCTCAATAAGACCAAAGAAATCTCAGGAGGGGACTCTGCTAATAGCTTCTTACTGACCTCCTTGCTTCAGGCCCTTCTGGCGAATGGTGGCCCAGTGGTGAACACAGCAAATGAGGTGTGTAAGCAGAGATATTATTTTTTTTTTAAACTATGGTTCTGACTTGTCAGGGAAAATAAAAATTATAAAAAAGAG